ATTTTATGTTTCAGGTTTTATTGAACACTCACTTTTAGCGAGTGTGTTACATTAGTATTCCTTATCAGAAGAGCAAATAGTTCTCCTTCCATTCATGCCAAATATCATGAAAGGGCAGTGTAGCTTTTGCCTTTGAAACATTGCAAATATGGTATAATAGGTAGCAATCATTAGTTTTAATAAATGTACAGAATAAATGTGCATCTTTCATAAAATGCCTTTCCAAACTTCCATGGACTTTTCCTGTGCTTCAGAGTAGTAGTGCATCTGTCTTTCCCCATTGCTCCTTGGGTTGCCTGGAACCTCTGCATGCTGTGCCAGGAGAATGCCTGAGCCTCTGATCCGACATTGTACTTTACACCGAGCAGCCTAACCTCAGTCCTAGTTTTGCTGCTTTTACCTTGTCCTTTTGCTTCTCTCCACCTTTACCATGTGACATCTGATGTCTCTGCCTGGGCCTGTGTGTGGATAAGGTCCATTATTGCATGTGCCCTGGGGATTATAGATGACTAAGCAGCTTTGTTTCCTGTGGCTCTCCTAGAGATCTGTTGCCCTCCTTTGTTATATCCCTTCCACATTTCATATCGACAGTGAGGGGCCTGCTGAAGTCTGACAAATTTTGCTCCCATTATTTTTATATAATTTCCTTGTTTTATATATATCAAGATCTGTAGTAACATTTTCAGGTGGTAGCAGAAGCCTGGCACAGAGTAGGAAACTAAACATTTGGTGAATGAATGAAGGAAGACTTGAGTTGTTTAATCGTGGGAAAGACTGTCTTGTAAAATAATTACTTTCTGACTAACGGACTTATGTAAGAAGTAGCGCCAAATAGGATTCCAGGTTGGAAGGCAGTTCTAGGTGGTTTGTAATATTTCTTCCTACCTTAAGTCAGGGAGCTGACACTCTTGAGACTCTGTCACTACCCCATAAAATCCCTTTTGTAAAAGAGACAGACCTGTAGACAGGTACAGTCCCAGGTAGGACATGGCAGAGCCAGGATTTGTGCCCAGGGCTCCCAAGGCTGGTCTTCGCACATCATGGTATGGTCGTGCACATCAGCCTGCTTGCTAAGGCCAGTTTCCTGTGGCGACATATCATTGTGGACCAGTAGCTTTTGCTGTAGCTGCTGTCTAGTAACCCTTTAGTGTTTGGAAGAAATACATCCTAAGACCTTGAGAATCCATAAATTTAGAAATACTATAATAACACCTTTCAAACGGTACAGTAACATAAATTTTACATGGCCTCCCCAAACTCTTTTTTTGAGAGTTATTGTTATTAAGTATTAAGACCATGCAGAGATCAACAAGCTACATTAAATCAATAATATCCAGCGGGGATGGGAGTGGGGTTGCTTCTCTGCGTCCTTATGGCCTCCAGATTTGTGGAGTCAGGAGGGGCTGTAGGAATTGCTTCCTCCAGCAGCACTGCCCTTCCTTCCTCTCCTTTCCCTAGAGGTTGATAGGTTATTAATGGCTCAAGTCCTATCTTATAATTTATTTTGAAATTTTAAGTACTAAATACAGTTTAAATAGACTTGGTTGAAAGGAAATGTACAATGATTATTTTTCCTTGTGGTCCACGAGGGGCTGATTAGGTGGGTGGGAGAGGGGTTAGAACAGTCATGCCATTCTTTAGTTTTTCCTATTGTGCTTTTATGAGCCAGGATTAGGTTTTTGAAATTTGGTTTTAGTTTATGATAATATTCTTATATCTTATCTGGATTAAATCCTTAAAAATTAATGTTATTCATTTTTAATATATAAAAAATGACATCTACCAAAATTGGCAATGAAAATTGTAACTCGTAAAATCAGCGATACTAAGCTCTCCTTTAATGGTAATAATAAAATGAGTTTCTGTGTGTCTGCAAGGTAATGAAATCAGTGGTCCTTTGTTTTGCTTTGCTGTGATGGCTGACAGTTCAGGGATTGTTTGTGTGGCTTGCCTGATGTCCTGCTCCTGTGTGGCACCATTGTTTGACTGGACTTGGTTCTCCACGCCTCATGCCTCAGGGAGAGCTCACGCTGGCTGAGCTCAGCCTGGGTTGTTCTTCATGGCTGTGGAGTGAAGGCTGCTCTTTCTGTGAAACTGCACGTATTCTCTAGTACCAGCCTTCGTGTGATGGAGCTTTCTTTGGCAACGGAGCTGTGAGGTCTCATGGGGTCCTGCAGCAGCCAGAGTGTGCAGCAGTCAAGAAAAGGAAGAAAGGTGATGACTGGAGTATGCAGATGTTCTGACAAGCTTAGAGATGAGGGATGTGTGTGGCCTGGCAGAGTGGACAGTCAGTGTCAGCATGACTCAGTTAGCGAAGTCTTGGTCCTGCGTTGGTGGAGAAACTAAGTGTAACTTGTTTGGATGAGAGTGTTACAGAACTTGTCTTTAGCACTTATTTGAAGGTAATGTTTATTATTAGTAGAAATAAGCCAACTTAATTGTCTTAATAAATGTAGCTTTTTGGCAGAGGATCGTTTTTGGTATATTCTTATGGGAAGCTTTTATATCTGCATTTTTAATACTGCCATTGAAGAAACATCATTTTATTCTCCCACTCATCCTTAGTGATGTTTTCTTACAGTTTTCCTTTTATGTCACCTGGGAACTGTTATTTTTGTTTTATTAAATAGGCGTTTAGGTTTTTAAGCATGCTCTAATCATTGTTGCTAATCGTTCCTAATGTTTGTAATTAAGACATGAAATTACATAGTTTAACCTTTGTTTTAACATTGAAAAAGGATTTTTTGTCTTACATTTTTGTGACATTTTATTTTTTTAGTTGAAGGACCCATTATACTTGGCTTATTTACTTCATGTTATTTTTGAAGGATAAGATCTGGTTTAAAGTATAATTCTCTGATGATGCAGTGGCTGGTGTCACACTGTGTTCTCTGTCCACCAGTCCTTTGACATTTGTGTCTAATGAGTATTTCTTCGAAGGAAGACATTGTAACATAGGATCAGCACTCAGATTCCCCCACAAAGGAATGAACTCTGAAGTGGCCCCTCCTCCCCCGGGCCAATTCCACCGCCCCCCTCCCCCCGCCGCCATCTTCCATGAATAGACCCATTCAAGAGCGAAACCAGTGTACAGTGTCACAGTGAAAGAACCTCTGACTCTCTTCAACTTAGCGTAGTATGTAAGTTATTTAATCAGGTTTGCATTTACTCATGAGTGACTGTACTCCTCAGAGTTCACAGAAAACAATAGAGAGCAGAATAATCACGTTGCGTGTATTAATGCTGTAAGTTTTTAGCTTAATGATTACTTTTTTCTTGAAGATTTAAACATACATTTTGATTATCAAAAATCAAGGGGAGAAAACTGTGTTCGATAGACTTATTCTGTACAGTTTCTTTTGTATGATTAATTTAGTTTTGGAAGATATAGCGTGTTAGTACGTGACGTAGATCCTCAGAAAATGTATGTAATATGATTTTCTGATAAAAGATGATAGTGGCTCTCTAACAGAGTGGGATGAAAAAGATAGTTGAGGAAAGGATTTCACTTTTTTTAATCATATCAGGTCTCATAGGATCCCTGACTCCTACCCTTAGTCTGATAGCTGGAGAAGGCAGTGTTGGGTGGTGCTGTGTCAGAGAGATCTAGACTCACATTCTGGCTCCGCTTCTTCACTAGCTGTTTGATTTTGGATAAGTTACTTAATTTCTCTACGCTTTGGTCTTTTCCTTTGTAAAAGGAAAGAGTCTTGTGAGCATTGGAGATACTGTATGTAGAACACCCTGCTTGGTGTTGGCATTGTGGTAAGCATTGGTAATTAGTCCAAGGTAATTAGTCCAAGTACATCCGGGCTCCACCTGCAGACCTTGGTGCCTTCTCGCCTTGCCCTGTGAGGAGCCTTTGCTTCTGGCGATGGAAAGAGGCTCATGTTTTAGTTCAGCTGTTTTGTACTTTATCTTTCAATTTTTAAGAATTGTTAAGTGATTTTGGCTAAATTTATTGCACTGAGATATAGGTTATCGGGAAACATTTTAATTTTAAGGTTGATGTGTAATCATTTTGCTATCTTTAAATAAAATAAAGGTATACTTTGGAGATACTGTGGGTTTGGTTCCAGACCACTGCAATAAAATGAATATTTCAATAAAGTGAGTCATAACCTTTTTCCTAATGGAGGAGAGTCTTGCCTTCAATTTGTAAAAAACATACCATCTGTGAAGCATGGTAAAGTGAAGTGCAATAAAATGAGGTATGCTTGTAGTGGCTGTTTAAAGGTTGTTTTACACTGGTAGACCTTTAATTTTTACACTGGTAGACCTTTAAATGTGTATAGGGTGATATGAGACTATCATATTCTCTGCTGAAGGTTTGTAGTTCCCAGAAATCGATTTAGGTTTGCTAGATGCAATCTAAAAAAATACATGTTTTTAAAAGTTGAATATACTTTACATATGTTAAAATGCATAGATTTTAAGGGTACCATTCAGTGAGCATTGGCAAGTATATATATCTGTGCAACAACTATTCAAATCATGATATAGAACATGTCTATCACCCAGGAATTTATCTCATACCCCTTTCCCCACTGTCACTCCCCCACCCGCCTTGATTTCTGCCATTGTAGATTAGTTTTGCCTGCTCCTGGACTTACTATAAATGAAATATGCAGAATGTGCTTTTTATGAATGGCTTCTTTTACATAACACAGTGTTTAGAGATTCGTCCATGCATCTGTGCTTTTGTGATTATCATTGGTTCCTCCTTTTTATCTAAGTAGACTTGGCATTACTTATCTGATGATGGAATTCTAGCCTTATTCTAGGTATACTTGTGTCAAATGTGCTTGGTAGTAAGATGAAGTCAGTGGTATATCCTTAATAGTTTATTATGTAGGTTTATGAGTTAATCACAGGGAGTGGTGCTATTTAACACATTAGTATTAACATAGAAACAACAGTGTGAATTGAAAAATGGTAGTGAACGTTCCAAAGTTCATAAATCTTAATGTCAAATAATACTTATTCATCATTTATTGTAGGTGCTACAGAATATTTTGGAAACAGAAAATGAATATTCTAAAGAACTTCAGACTGTGCTTTCTACCTATCTACGGCCATTGCAGACCAGTGAGAAGTAAGTTAGCTGATGAATTGTGTTAACTGTAGAATAGTTGTCACCTTAGGCTATTGTCTTGTATTTTCAGAGAATAGAGGGTGAAATGCTGGAACAGAATTCTTTGTACCCGTTTGCCTTAAACATAAGCAAATTTTCGTTTATTAGGTTAAGGCTTTAGTAGGGCATTGGGATGGGAGAGGAAAGGGATATAAGTAAAACTGTTTACATATATTTTTTTTTTCTTGGCTCTAGGTTAAGTTCAGCAAACACTTCATATTTAATGGGAAATCTAGAAGAAATATGTTCTTTCCAGCAAATGCTTGTACAGTCTTTAGAAGAATGCACCAAGTAAGTAAGATGCTAAAATTTATAAAATTCAGATTGGGGTAAGTGGAATTCAAAAGATCAAGTTTAACATAATTTTAGAATTTAAATTTCTAAAGATAGACACGAAGTTATTTTGAATCTTTTGGGTATATCAACTTTTATAGTAAAAGCTGTATTTTAAACTATCTAAATTTTCATGATCTTTGAAGGAGAGATTTACTGACTATTCAGAGAAAGAAAGGCTTTGCATGAGTGGTGATTTTTAATGTATTGGGGGAAGGGGAAAGTAGAGAATGAAGAACCCCTGAAGAAGAGGAGAGGATGGCACGTGAAAGAGCATGGAGGCACCGAAGGCTTGGATCCTTATGTGCCGCCATCAGCTACATGGGGAGGCATTGTGTACACACCCTTGAGGGCCAAGTCTTCCCAGCATCATTTCTGCATATGTTGTTTCTGGCCATCAGGAAGCTGAGAAACTGTAAAGCACTACATACATAATGTATTATTCTGGTGTATTAGGGAATTGGTTTTTGTCACTTTTCCAAGATATTTTTGGTGGGGATAGGGGAAAGGCATGTTCTGGATGATTGGCCATCAGACTTTTTCCTGTGTGACTATTTTATATTCTTTGCTAGTAACATCAGACATTAAAGGATACTAAGTGCCTGCTAGATATTGGATGACTTAAAATCATAATGCACATGAAAAGTTTTGAGATTTTAGTCTACCAGGTGATATTTGATGTTTATTTACCTGTGGGACTTGATATAAAGGAAGGTGACACATTTTATTTTTCTGTTATCTTTATTTTCGAAGCCACCAGAAAACTTTTTTCTCTTGGATTCTGATTGGCCTCTGGTTTTCCTTTCAGCTTTTTGCATTTATCTTTCTCAATCTTAGAAGTGGTGAGGGGTAGCCTGCCTTCTGTGCTAGTAACTCTTTAAAGTGGTTGTTTGCCTTGCTGAAAATAGATTTGCTTCCTTAACTTTGGCTTCAGAGTTTCATCAAGGCACTTCCTATTGGAAGATGTGGCAGGGAAAGCTGAATGCCAGTGTAACTAAATAATGTCTTTCAAACAGAAATTCACATTATTTTTGCTTTTGTAGCATCTTTGGTTTGCGTAAAGTAACATTACTTGCCCATGAAAAGAGTAGTTTGAGAATCACTTTACTTTTGGTGAATGAAGATCATTTGCCAGCAATTTGGGGTCTTTGCAGGAGTCTAGCCCTATTGTGAACAAATGGAAGTAAATGTTTGCTTCTGCTTTTCCTACTGGCTGTAGATAATGTAGACTAAATAAATTAATATTTACATAGCACGTTTTGGAATACTTTTGTGAGCCTCATGTTAGCCCTGTGAAATAGGGCAGATATTACTATCCTCACGGTATAGATTTAAAACTGAAGTTCAGGGTGGTGAAGTAATATGCTTTAAGTCAAATATATAGTTGGGGTTCAGTCCTTTATGTTGTCTGAATTTCGTATGACTTAGATATTTTGGTAAAGTTCCTTGAGGTTATGGTACATGGATAGGACCTGTTGGATTTTCCATGGTCAAATGGAATGTTTAAGACTAGCTTTCCTTATCAGCCATTTCTTTCTTTCTTTTCTTTTCTTCTTTTTTTTTAATCATGAATATTCTGAAAGTTTTCAGAGATTTGTGCAGAATCCAGAGACAGAATTCAGGGTTGCATTCTCTGTCATTCTTGGGTTTCCCCGCTGCTTCCCAGCAGCTCAGGTTGAACAAAACCCCGTGGTTTTCTCTTGGGGTTTAGCTGTCCCACATAACACTGGCCTAAAAGCGAAGAAAACAGGAGGCATGTTCTGTGCCCTTTTCTTCTCCAAATGCCAGCTTTCCTTCATAATCTTCCTACTTCTGATGGCTCTCTGGTGCCTTCAAGTAGTCCATTATATATTTTGTTCAAAGTTTCTTTGTTATCTGCAGGAGAGTCAGTGTGATAGCAGTACTTGGCTGTAACCAGAAATGGAACCTCCTGGATGTATAGAACCCAGTCTTTTTCCTATTTCTCAAATCTGGTTTTCCCCTCAGCCTTGTAGATTCCTTGGAAGCCTGCTTTCTGTAGTAATTGTGCTCACAATTCAAAACAAAACAAACCATAGGCTCCTTTTAAAACATACTTACGCAGTTTGCTGCATTAACACTTAAAAAGGTAAGAAAGTCAGGTCACAAAGAAGTTTAGTGACTTTCGCAAGGTCACACAGCTCATGACTGGTGGCCTAAATTGAGAGCCCCCAAGCCTCGTCACCCACATCCTAGCTCCGGTCACTGTAATGAGAAAGACTGACTCTGAGGACCCTTTCCTGGTGAGGATCTGTTATTTACAGTTTACTTCTTAGCAGCATTTTTGCCAGTGGGTTCTCCCCCCAGAGGACTATTCTCACCCCTGCCCTCTTACCTAGAGTCAACCCTGCTCTGGTGGAATAGGCCCCCGCCTTCCTTCGGGACTCTGGGCAGGATGAGATGATGAGTGCTCTCCAAGATAATTTTTGAAATGCAGTTCTCCTATTTTAAATGATGGAGTGACCCCAATAATATAACAGTTTACTATAGATGCTATTACATTATGACTTAATGAGACCCCTCTTTGGAATGGTCTGGGAATGGAACTGTGGTTTACAAAATTGTTTCTATGGGAAAATGACTTCTGAGAATCTAAGAATGACTTCGACTTTTTCGAATAAACCCATTTGTATTTTTTTTTTATGAAAAGCAGGTTAAACTCTGTGGAAAATAAAATCTCAAAAGTTCTTTTTTATAATGTCCCTGGTACTGTACCAAATTTTGTTCTTATTTATTTTGGTAATGATGTGATGCTCTTCTAATACCCCCTCTTAATACTGAAATATCCCCTAATTCTTTAGTTTTTTGTTAGGTGTAGATGCGATGGTAAAGGCAGACAGACAGCGGAGATAACTGGCTTTACTGCATTTCTCCTTTGACAGGCCCCTCTTGAGATAGCTGGCATGCCTGACTTGCTGCATCCCAGAGTCCAGCCCTGTGCCTGGGACTTTACAGATGTTCTTTTTTTTGCACTTACAACCGTTGCTTGGGGTGGATGTGACCCACTCCACCACTCCTCACTGAATGTTCTGGGATTTACCCTTTCTTTCTAGCCTCATTTTCCAGGTCCTTTCTTTTTCCCTTTCTCTTCCGCATATGTTTCATGCTGTGTTGGCCCCTGTTGGTGACACTCAGGGCTGACAAGGTATATTTGAGTTTAATCAGGTACAACCCAGTTGTTTTAATGATAATATCTCATGGTTTCCTTGCTGTTGCTTTATGTCCAGCTGTGATACATGGGGCACCTTTAAATTAAAAAGTTTCACACAAGTTTATGAATGATTCTGCCAAGTAGCGGCTGCTATTCCCTGGCTATCTGGAAATGGAGTTTATGGAATGCCACCATCTGTGGAAGACTATAAGGGAAACATACCCATTCTGGAGCAAAATTTGGACCATTATGGGACTGGTTCATGGGTGCTATTAGAGGGCAAGATAGTATCTTATTCTTTATATTCCCAGGTATTCTATAATTCTAATATGTAGTAAATATTTAATATATAGATGGTTTTAGATCAAGTCAGTAGATCTTAAGAATTTATTTCTCTAGAGATAGGTCTACGTAGCATTGTTTAAACTATTGTTTGTAAAAAGTGGTTGAAACTGCTACTGTGATTTTCAGCTTCTGCTCTGATAGTTAAAAAAAACTGATTTTTGAGTCAAGTTGATTGAAAGGGTATTGGTGTCACTAACAGATGAAGGCAAGACTAAGAAAAGGTCTTGCCTTCATCTGTTAGTGATGAAGGTAGTAAGTTCAGTTTGAGGTGTTTGTGTGCCTTGGAGTGTGGATATCTGACGGGCAGATAGTTGGCCAGCCCTGGAATCACATAAGGTTGGAGGTGGAGATTTGAGAGTTGTAGCTCCCCACCCCACTCAACCATTTGTGAAGAGGTATAACCCAGGGGTGTTTGCCTCTGTAGTTTTCTCATCTGTAAAAGGGGTTGGTAGCGTATCCTTTTGAGAGTTAAGTAAAGTCAGCAGGTGGTCGTGGTGGCTGAGGGTTTGTTTCTCCGTGTGGAAATGCATTCTTCTTGCTTCTTATTCTATTAGAGCCTTTCCCTGTTTGCCATTTGTAATTTACTAATAAATGAAACTAATGCTGATCTCGAAGGTCCATGGGTGAATCACCGAAGGAAAGGTCTGTTTTCTTTCGAATCGAAAGACCATTTCCCCTCTCCATAGTAGTTCTTAGGCATTATTTTCAGTTAGTTTTACTCTCTGCCCTCAGACTTTAGGACATTAAAGGAAATACATAGGATATATGACTTTAGATATTACTATTAGTTATTACTGTCTTTGGGCAAAGTTCTGTAGAGGATGGTGATAAGATTGTACTTTCTCTTGGTTCTTTTTCTTCATCCTATTATTTTTGGAGATAGCTTATAGGCAGTTGGCTAGCCATGGAATCAAGTTGGAACTAGAAAACATTTTAGTGGATTTAATGACCTAGCTAATTGTTATGATAATTCAGTTCCTTATTCTGAATTTTATTTTTTAATGTGGATGTTTTAATTTTTTTCTAAAACAGCTGGAGGGAAAACAGCTTATTTTTAACCTCCAGCTAGTTAAGACCATCATTGCCTATATTTGGAGTGGTAGGAAGCAGCAAAATGTATTTTAAATCTTATAAGATAATCAGTTACTTGGAAGGAGGCTGTATATATGTCATAAACTAAAAAGTCAGGAGAGTCTCACTTGCAATGGTAAAGAAAATGAAAAAGTACTTAGGAAAGAAATGTTTGGGTGACCAAGGAAACATCATAAGTGGTAATTTGGGGAAGTAGAGTGATTGGAATTGTAGGGATTTTATGTTTTTAGCCACCTTTTTTCCTTTTCTCACTTGGTTGCTTCTGGCCTGTTTTACCTGCCTCAGACCCTCACGACTCTGTCCTGCGCCTTCTCTTCTCACTTTTTGTGGCGTAATTGCCACCATCGTGGTG